CTCATTAGACAAGACAGTGGCGTTACAAAAAACTCACTGTCAGGCAGCGGGATGTTTAATGCGATAGAGGTAGGATTTCCAACACAAACTTGTAAGAGCTAACAAGTTTGTGTTGCTCATTTGACGACATGTGCTTGAAGGTCTGCAATTACACGATCATGACAGAATACATTTTTGTGACTTGGTGTAACACTCAGGAGGTGCATCGCTGGACCTCAAGGCGTGCCCTCCAAAACCAGCAAAGTGGATTCTTGACATGACCTGGCTCAATCTTGTGGCACTCAGCAAACACTGGGAGTTCTCTGATGTACTGGATCAGGTACAACACATACGTCAATGATGTTATTTGTTCTTCGAAGCACATCATAGTCAAATCTAATGTCAGCTTCATACGCATGCACACCATTGGATAATGTTTCCACCCAAACACAGACACACATTTATCGGTGACTGACAGCCAGCTAGCTCCCATATGGCATGAGAAAGTCAGTGCCCTGTAAAATGAGCTTAGTTCGGAGAAACTTCAATTAGTTTTTGAAAAGCCTGTGAGCACACAAACACTTGGCAGACACGCGCGCGCACACAAACACACACACACGGATGTACTCCTGACTTGATAATTAACATGAAGCAGTGGATTAGCAGTTCTTTGTTTAATGAAATTAGCCTCCAAGATTGTGCTGTCTGTCCTCTCCAGAGACAAAGAGACACAGAAAGGCCAAACTATCTGAGGCCCTGTCTCACTCAAACTTCAAACACAAATCAACACTTTGGCTTTCCTTGGTTGTTATTTCAAAACTACATAGTTTGTGTGCATTTATACAATACTGTATTGACACATATCTGTATATTGTGTTGCCTTGATATATGAGGGCCCAATTTAAGAGATACAATCTGGAGATTGTGTTTGTTTTTGCTTTGTGTTGAGACCTTAACATACGCATCTGCTTGAGTGAAGTGAAAAAATGTTGTTGATGCACTTTGAGATGTTCATTAAACGGGACAAACAGTCCAACACGGACATACAAAACAGCAGAGGTGGTGGGCACATCAGTCCGTCAATCATCCTCTCGACATTATTTCAGGGTGGCCCAGTCCGTCAGTGGCGGCGACAGCCAATCGGTGTCGACGACGTACTTACTATGTCACATGCACACAAAAAAACAACAAAAAAAAAAAAACAAAACAAACACAAAAAAAAATCCATACACACAGTACATTGTGAGTTGTGAAATAAAAACAGTCTGGGACAATGTCATTGCGGTCTTCGGAAACAAAATGTGTACAACAGTGGGTTTTTTTGTTTTTGTTTTTTGTTTTTTTTAACATGAGTTTGCTTGTGCTGTGCCCACGTTTAATGTACGAAGTGTTAAGTATGTTCTTGATGCCGATTGGCTGTCGCCACAGTGATGGACAGTGACGTGCCCACCTCTACAAAACAATCTCACAAGCATGGAGCAGACGCTAAGATGCTAATACCCCATTCATCCACCCCTTATCCGCT